TGGGGAATTCTGGGAGTTGAAGTCCACACATCTTAAAGCTGCCAAGGTTGAAAAACACTGCTATAAAAGAATAATCCATGCAGAAAAATACACAAATGGGCTAAAAAAAACCCTCTGTCCTGTAGCTCACAAAATGGCTATCCATTTCCTCTTAAACATAAAAAAAATGTCTCTGCTATAATTCCGGTTTTAGGTTATGGAAATCATCTTAAAATGCAACAGTAAGCAAATTGGCAACGGAGATGTTCTGAGTGTTTTTGCTAAAAGCTTCCAGCAAGGATCGGCTCGCAGGAAGAAGGTCTCAGTTACCAAAGTTCCCTATTTTCTGAATTTGCATCTTCACCTCACCAAATGGGCTGGCTTTATCCAAAGCCTTAAACCTCCAAAAGGAAGGTTCAAAATACTGTATGCAAATACAAATATATAATTTAAGTGATCTGTTGGGTTGTGTCAACGCAACCAAAAGATAAACCTTTCCAAGGTTTGTAAAAGGAGAAGCTGAAGGATCAACAAAGTCATTTGTGTTCACCTTATTTTTCCAGACTGGTTTTCCAGTTTCGGTCTAGCCTGCAGCCCTGGGATTTTCTCGTGGCCTCCTTTCCAAGAGGGAACCACATTGGAACCAACTTAGCTTCTAATAAGCCCAGAGAAAGTTAATCACTGGCTGCCATTTGAAGCTCATTGGACCTTTTGTTTTCAATCAGACACACACAGGACACCCGCAAACATTCTTGGGCAGTTTCACTAAAGTACACAGAGAGGAGTTGTGTTCACACAGCATGCTTAACCCAGCCAGAATTGTGTTGCATTCACAGAAGATGTAAGCCTGACTGGTGTTTAACTTGATTAGCTTTTAATTTTTTAATGGTTTCTTATGGCTTTTTTAAACAAACACAGAAAATGGTTTAATCCAGGTTAATCCTTAACTCAGGTTAAGTGTGTTGGGTGAATAGAAACACACTATAACTTCTTAGCCCATGTTCTAGGAAGCATACCTCATTTAAGACCCTTTATATGAAGGATTTTGCTCCACTTTTTACTATCTTAAATGACGTTTAATGGTAGATCATTTAGAGTTGACTTGCTCTGAATTTCTTCACCTGATGATCGATGAATGATTGATTGATCGATTGATGAGTTTAACTCCACTGCAGTGGGGCGGGGGGAGATAGAGAGAAGCTGCAATGAAAATCTATACCCAGGACACTTTGAAACATAAACTTTATTGCGAGAAAGAATTTAAATCAGCATACTCAGCAGCGGTTTCCAGCGTCGGGAACGGACTGGTGTGTCATGAAGAAGTAGAGATCACAAACTCAAGAAAAGTGTGTACAATTGAAACAGAAAGTTTTATTAAAACCACTTCAAAATCAAATTGTATTTTTTTTCCTTTCTTTTTTTTTTCTTTTTTTCCCTTTTACCTTAACAATATGTTTTATATTACAGTCTTCAGCTCCTGGCATGAAGAGACTGAGAAATCAGAGAGAGACTGGAGCGGAGCGAAGGGGAGGAAGAGGTTTCGAAAGCTAACAGGAGGTGAAGGTCTTCCAGAAGAAGTTTTTGCATCCGGCTTTGCGCTCCCGAGGTGTCAGACCTGGGTTCAGGTTGGCTGACCTCTCGAGTTCCAGTCTGACCTCGTCTTGCTCAGCCCCACGGGACAGGTCATCCGAGCCCAGGGCCTCGTTCTCCGGCTGGCTGGGTTCCGACAGCAGCTCTGCCAGGAAATATTTAGCCAGTTCCTTGGAAGGCAAGGAGAAAAGAGAGAAGAGTGGGTCAAGGGACGGTAAGGGGAGGACACCCTCAGATCGGTTCAACCGCAAGGCCTGTCCGCGCGGTCTTCTAGGCAGCCAGATGGAAGAGCTTCCCCTTTGTTTGATTTCCCCGTGGTCTTCCATCCAAGTCAGGTCTGACTCTGCTAAGCTTCTGACCCCAGAGAAGCTGGACCAGTGGCTTGAGCTAGCAAGAAAAATCCATGAGCACCACTTCAGTGGCTGCGTTTACCCAACATGCTAAATCCGGTTTTGCTTAGCCATGATTTACTGAATAAACCACAGTTGGCTGGGTTCACTCTACGCCTTTCACCCTCAGTCACGGCTTGAGAAACGGAAGGACTGAGATTGTGCAACATGCTGGTCTGCAAACAAAGAGGGTCACCTTTTGACTGATCAGCTGCCTTTGCAGAACACATTTAATCTGCGTTTGTATCACCTATTGAACACGCAACTAATCAAATGAGCTGAATTCACCAACACTAAATTACAGGAAAGGAAATAAGGTTTCTACAGATTAAGTGTGACATGCAACCGCAGTCTAAAAACTCAAGATCAAGCATGGCTTCAATTGCACAGTCGTGACCCCTCCACCCGTGTTTTTCGGTCTCAGCTGAACACGCTACGTGAACACAGCCTCTTAAGCGTGTGAACTGAGCCACGGACCTCCGTCCCTTGACAAACAGCAGGATAAGTGTCGATTTTTATGGGGAAAAAAGTTCTTCAGTAGGGATATAAATTGCAGAAAAATAAAAAGACACGTTAAGCCTTGGCTCCACCAGTGAAACCCTCGCATGGCTCCATTATTGCAGTCAACATTCACTCTCTCTTGTGCCTCATGGTTTTTATATTCTATATTTTTAATGAATGATAGTTGCTTTTTATATTTATTGTTTTAATTCATTGTTGTACGCCGCTCAGGGTCACTTTTTGTGAGATGGGCGGCCCTATGCGTTTCACAAATAAATAAAATAAGATAAACTTCCACAAATGTTACGTAGGAGAGTCTGGAGTTATCTGCAGGATGGGGTCAAAAAAGTCAAGATGCCGGCTGCAATGGTATGTTTGATGCTTCACCTGTTTTAATTCTTTTTTTCAAATGGGTGGAACTTCAAACACATTATCACAGCTGCCATTTTGACCTTTTTTGACCATACCATGCAGACACCTCCAGACAGTCCTACATAACATTTGCAGGAGTTTATTTTATTTTATTTATTTGTCTGTCAAACGCATAGGGCCGCCCATCTCACAAAAAGTAACCCTGAGCGGCGTACAACAATGAATTAAAACAATAAATTCAAAAACAATAAATGGTGGTGTCCCTTAAGAACTGAAGCCAAACCTTGCGGGGGGGGGGGGAAGGGGTTGGACGTCTTTCATCCTCCAACAGTAGAAAGAAAGACAGACAGACAGACAGACAGACAGACAGACGAGCCACCAAGGGGCCTGGTCCCAGACAAGGAGGGAAAACATCCTTTGGGGCCCTCAACAGCTGGGCTTCCGAGGCTGAGCCTCTCCCCCCCTCCGCCCCTTGCAACCCTGGAAAACAACCCTGGATACAGACCACTGATTCGGCC